ATATGTAACTCAGGACTTGCAGCAGGATCATCAATACCAGCATGATGATATCGTTGATTACCAGGTGGATGTACAGGATGTAACGAGAGTTTGAGTTGAAAACCTGAAATGGGAGGATGACATTTTTCAGGACAGATTTTTTTGTTACATTAGCAAGCCCACATTTACATTGAAAGTTCTGAAGAAATACTGTAAAATAAGCTGGATAGCATTTGTTAGCAGTATTTCCTTTTATTTTTCTGGCATTCTATTTGTAAATGTTATGTTCAAGGGGCAAAAATAAATTTCAAAACAATATTGTTGCACATTTAACCTTTTTATTTCCATGTTGTGAGTCCAAACTCTATATATATTATTTATTTTTTACATCTCTTGTTGATATGTAGGTCTTGAATTTGACAAATATAATAAGATATTTTCAAATTAAAAACCTTTAGAAAAATCTTTACCCTGAAACATTTTATTCATATTGATTTATCATGATGTCATTTTAACACATGGACTAAAATACGTCATAAACTTGTAGAAAGGTTTACTCCCTTCTTAATTAAAGATAAAGTACATAATATCCAGCAGTCTCCCCAGTTGTACAATCACATGCTTTTAATTATTAATGTGTTGTATGAAAAATTTATTTCTGAAATGTTCTTAAAAAGATTTTGCCAGACCAAAAAGACAGCAGAAATTTAAAACAGTTATTTTGCAGCTAGTTGAAAAAAAATTGTTTTTACCTGTAGACGTATAATTGTATGAATAAACACAGTTTGACTCTCATTCCCTATTTTTTTATTTTTTTTATTTCTTTGAAAAAAAATTCCTTTAAAAACTTTGAGAATAACACATAGAAATGGTTTTGAAATAGTTTCCCAACTTCACGCTATTGTACTTTTTACCTTTAACTTTTTATAGCAACACAGCTATTATACGGAAAGCACAGCAGATATTTTGTATGATGGACAAAATTTGTACCTGATGTTTTCTGAATGTGTGAACCAGAGTCCCATTAATGTAGATGATAGCAAGAGAGAGGACGACAGTGATCACATTCTTGATGATGGCTATGTAGAGCGGGTCCCGACTGACGGTTGTAGTAGTATTCATACCAGTATTTAGAGGGCTTATAAATCATCTGATATTGTGTGCCAAACTGCAGAGAAATGTTCAACAGGTGAATGTTAAAAATGAATAAATTATTTTCTTATTTTCTTAATCAGAAACATATAGCAGTTAAACTGCGAGCAAATAATATGCATTGTATGACCAAAAAGAATACAATCATTCTTCAATATAGATTAATTAATAATCTAAAGTTGTTTAGGTATAGTGTTTCTTATCTAGTTTTAGTGTAATTCTCATCCAGTAATCATCCAAGTCGTCATTTTAAACAAATTCACTGAAGCCCATCTTCAGAGATGACAGCAATTTTTTGCTTTATTTAAATTATTATTTTTGTTTTTTACTGAAAAGTTGTTAATGTTAATAACACAGCATTTACATTTTGAAAAACACTTTCACACCACACTGTAGTCTATGACATTAAGTATTACAATGTAAAAGTGTACAGATCCTTTTTTTGTTTGTTTTTCTTTTTGGCTAATAGTAGCAGTAAAATAGAAATATTTTAAATGACAATCAGTGTATTATATATGTTACATATTATATATGTTTTAAATGTTGAATTAATATTAGGCATTTACCAGTTTAAATGAGAACAAGACAAAGAACAGACTCACCTGGTTCTGGTCATACAGGTTTATACTGCAGACAATAAGTCAGGTCTGCTTGACTTATCCCCATATATAGTTTATATGCAGGACGGTCATGGGAATAGAAACATGAAAAGGTCAGCGGTGTAATGCATGTGGGTGTGTATGTGTTTGTGCTTGCATGTATGCATGTGAGTGGCAATACGTGTGTGTGTCCGTAGGTGGCTGCTTGTTGAGTTGCTCTGTAAGATCATCGGGATGAAGGTGGAAGTCTGTGTTTATTGCAAACTTATCAAATGACTTCACTTCCCAATCTAAAATAAAATTTAAACATATATAAACTAAACTGTAAAAAGTGAGGGGAAATATTTTGGAGGATAAAGATGTTCTATTGAAACCAGAGGCATGGCAAAAAATGTAGAAACTGACAAAATAATAAAAAAAAAGTTCAGAGAAAAGTTTTCAGGTACATCCTCTGGTACATTTGCAGACAATTGATGGCTAAAATACAAACTATTGTCACAATATACACATTTCCACATTTCTAGCAGCCATTAGGTTACAATCACATTTTTTCCCCAGTTCAAATTGCCAGCTGATCACCTAAGAAAAACATCTCATTACTCTGTGATGCCCCCCATAGATATCAGATAATTGTTAGCTAAATGCATCACATCCAGTGATGCCTTCTGTTTTAACCCTCCTAATGTGGGTAAAGTCTACATAGCATAACAAGAAGATATTTAATAATATTATCAGATCTTGTGATACTGGAGTCACATTTGTGTTGATTCTGTGGCAGTGGTTTTAATGTGCGTTTATACATGAGTGTAGCACTCATATGGCAGAATCGTTCAACAATGTTAAGTAAATCTCAGCATGCTGATTTAGATGGTGATCCAAGTATGTATGCTATGGAATTTCAATCAGTCGGACTCTGCTATGGGAGCATTTTTATAAAAACTTCATTGGTATACTGACATTGACTGTCATTACTTTTTCCCTTTTAAGTTATGAGGAAATGCTTCAATATGCTTTTCCAGGAAACCTAATCTTGCTGATTTGTTTTCATTTCTCCTTTAAAACCATGCTGGATAATAACAAATTTGGAGTACCTTATTTTATTATGAAGGAGTCGTGTTACCTATGACTTATCAACCACAAAAATATGCAAAACAAAATACACACGTTTTCATTTTGTCATTCAATATGTTTTGTTGTTTTTCTCTTTGCAATAAATAGTACAATATTGTTATGTTTTTGCCACCGATTTTGTAAGAAAAATTTATTATTAAGTATAACCGGCATATTCAATGCATGGAATGGCCGACATGGCAGGCAAAGCCTCCTAGAATAGATTTTAATATAATCAGCTCATACTTATCGACCACTTGGTGGCACTCATAGAGTGTGCATAAAACTGCAACTTCAAGACTGTTAAATGTCCATTAGATTGAAAAAAGAGAGTCATAAACAAAGTAAGTCATTCCATTCTCATATATTAGCCAGCTGTAAAATGTTACACACTTATGTTAACACACATCATTATACAAAATAGTAAATAGGTATAGTTCAGAAGTCAACACTTGAAGTTAACAAACAAACTAAACTGACTGGCTGACTGGTTCTGTAGTGATATAATAGAAAATATGCATTTTTTCCCCTTCTGTGATACAAACACATGAACACACAAACGCATCATTTCCTCTGAATAAAACAGGGAACAGGCATGGCGGAAGGAGTCTAGCAGACAACATTTTTACAAACTTTATTCTTCAAATTTGGAATACATCCATGCTTTTAAGGGAAAAGACCTCAAATGCATGGAGTTGGCATTGTCTCCCCATGCAAGCGTGGGTTCTGTTGAGCTTCCTCCCACAGTACAAAAACATTACTGTTAGATTAATTGGGGTCTCTAAATGGCCCTTAGCTATGAGTACATGCATGGTTGTATGTCTCTTTGCTGTGATGGACTGTCATCCTGTCCAGGGTATACTGCTGGAGGTAAGCATCAGACTCACTCTGACGGCCAAGCAGAGGAATATAGATGGATGGATTGTATGTAAATAAATTTGAAATCATAGGGCAGACATAGAGGATTAACTCTGGCCTCCAGGAATTCTATTTTAATTTTGTTCCTTTGCCATCATGGTATAGAACCAGACATTGAAATACTTTATTAAAGTATTTACCTTATTAAAAGCAATAAGGATATCATGCATATCTGACAACTTGTTTACTTATTAAAAAAATTATTTCCAGCAATTTTAACTATTATTTTCTTCTTTTTAATACCAGCTCACAGTAAAATAAACTATGCAAGCATTAAAAACAGCACAGCAGGAATCACACTGTACATTTGTAAACACCTAAGTACTACTAATAACCAAAGCCAATATGTGCCTACCTTTTTATATGTAAAACCACTTTTATTATTCATAGAAGAAAGGATTGAAAATGTGCCATTTAAATGTTAATGCAGTGTTTCAAATCTTAAATCAAACCTAGACATAACTGATCACTCCCATATTCCTTTGATTTACATCATAGTTTAAAACATCCTATGTTACAGCAGTCAATTGTCATTTTTAAATCACAAGCCTCAGGGGAAAAAGGGGTTTTTGAACTATTACAGTAAATAATTACTATTCAAATAAAAACATTGAATACATATTTAAAATGTCATTGTCCTGGGTACAACCTTACCTGCTAATTGAAAAATAAGTAAATGAACCCAAAACAAAGCCATTCATAACTCAGAGCCATACACAGTGCAATATAGTGAATATAGATAATCATTCAAAGTGGTTCCAAGGGGGATGTGATTGGCATAGTTTTTTGTTCCATTTCAAGCTTAGGATGAGTGACAACAAAATGAAAAGTAACAACAAAAAATTTGTCCATCCAAATAATGCAAATCGGACACTTAAATTGTGTCCAAAGTGGACATCAGCAGTTTGCATGATAAGTGCTGTCAGTAAGGGAGGTAGAAAGAGGAAGCTTCATCTCGATAGTTCATTTAGTATAAACATAGGGGGGATGTTGCCATCTTCCACATACAGTAGGAGCTCGATGTGTAACACAGCCTACACTGGAAAAAAATCAAAATCTAGATAAGTCATTTTTTCTTAAAATAAGTGCATTTGTTCTTGGATTGAAGAAGTAAAAGAGACATTTTGCCAATAGGACAAGATAATTTACATTTGAAATAAGAAAACACAATTGCATTGCCTTATTTCAAGTACATATTATCCAACTATCTTATTTTAAGAGTAAAAATACTAATTCCATTGGCAAACTGTCTCATTTACTTACTCAAAATAAGGTTAAATAAACTTAATTTAAGACATTTTTACTAATTTCTAGATTTCTAGTTTTTACAGTGTATATGCTCTGTTTCACCTCAAGGAGAATAACAGATAATACATGGTTTCATTATCTGTGCAGACACAACACACCTTGATATGTTTTGGGTTTTATAACGGAGAGCTCCACCTGTAATCTACATTTGTATTACTTTAATTTGAAAAGCATCATCCAGCAATGTGTTCTATCACCTAATGACATCAGGAAGGTAAAAGGCTGCTCAGGTTCAGCATAGTGTTCCTTTCCTCCCCATGACAGCGTTCTTACTGTTGGAAAAAGAGCAAGCAACAGATGCTAGGAGCAAAATTTGCACAATTTGGATGAGAATAATATTTCTCATAGGTCCTGCCTCAAGGCCGTAAAAAAAAGACAGTTAAGATATATTTAGCAATATAGTTTTTAGATTTGAAAATACTTCGATTTATGGTATGATTCACAAAATGTTTAATTGTGAAATTACACGGATCTATTTTTTTCCCATATTTGAATGATTTCAAAATCATTTGTATGATTGCTTTATCTAAGTACAGGACAGGAAACCAAATGCTTTAAAATGATCCAATTCAGGATACTGAAAGCTTCGCTGATGGATGCAGTTTATTGGCTGCTCTAACAGTACACAGAAAATACTTCCCCAAGTACTGTTTGAATGTGCAGTCTCGTAGCCCATACACAATAGGACTGACCAACCTGGGCAGAATCTGGATCAATATGTACAAAACAAAAAGGATCTGGACAGAATATGCAGGAGCCAGGAACAAAAAAATCTTTTGTGCCAAAGGAGCTACATATGTTAGCATACACAAAAGCAGCTGAACTCCATGAAGCAGGATGGTATTTCTGGCACTTTTTGCTTTTCCTTTAGCTGAGTTAGCAGCTTGAGCAACAAAAAATATCCTGAAGTAGGTAAAGAAAAGGGTGAACCAAACTCCAGTTAAAAAAATTATATGAGAAACATCCCTTTTTTGTATATTTATTGGCCGTCGGAACAGGTTGTCTCTTTGGCAAAATATTGTGGCGTGAAATAACCATAGAGGCTCTGTTGCAAGGATAATAAATATGTCTGGTAAAATCGATGCTGCACTCAAAACCCAAATACAACCTATGAGAAAATATGTTCGTTTTATGGTGCAGAGTTCAGCATGTCGCAACGGGAAACAAACAGCAATGTAGCACTCCACCGCCATCAGGGCTAAATTTAAAGGAGTATTGACAGTGGTGAAAACAGCAAAGGTTACGATAAAGCAACAGAAGGAGGCGTTGATTTTGTAGAAGACGTAACTAATGACAAATAGGCTGATTGATGCAGTCAACTGGATCATATCATTTACCACCAGATGGATGAAAAGGATGTAACGAGGATTCATGTAAAATATCTGGAAGAGAAGGAAAGTTTATTTTTAGTTCTTTTCATTCATAATGCTGGGTTTTATTCAAACACTTTGACAGGAATAACTCATAGTGAAGGATGACAAAAACTGACTTGGTGTTTTCTGAAGGTGTGAATCAGTGTTCCATTGATATAGTTGATGGAAATGCCCAGAGCCATAATGAGCACATTCTTTGCCACAGCAGTGCCTGGAGAATCTCTGTAAGTCAGGGTCCTGGACATGTTGAAGTTCAAAGATGAGGAATTCATCTGGGAGCTCAAATATTCTTGATTATTAAAACAGAAAATTCTGTTAAAAAACAAAATCAATTAATTTAATTTTAATAGGGTTAAATTTGTATTGCATACTGAAACATTTAGTGTTTAAATAAAAGATTTGGTGTCTGTCTCGTGTGTTACACAAAACATGCTGTATGTTTTCTATTGTATTTTTAAACATTTTCAGTATTTTGTGTATTTGACCTGTGTTGTAAGACTTTAAAAACAGATTGAGCTCTGAATCAGATTATCTTGATAAATATTCCCTAGAGCAGATGTGAACCCCATGCTTCACTCTGTCAATTACCTTCCTGTTGCAAATGAGTAACCATGTTGAGAAGCATATGGTAGTTGTATAAAAATGTCAGTGTAACATTTGATTTGTTATTGTCTCAGAGGTAAAATGTATGTTTTTTTTTATTTATTTATTTTGGCCTAAGGTGTTGGATATCCAGCAGACATCTACAGTATAAGCCTTAAAGGGCTCAGCCCATATTGATGAGCTGGAATTTATGAATATTTATGAAATGGTCATCTTTAAAGCAAGCTTTTTCACTAGCACTAAATTCTTTCTCAGGAGTTTCTTTCTCCAAATTTGCTGTTTATGATGGATCAAAAGGACAGTGAAGTAAGCTTTCCATTGTCGGCTTGCATAAAGGGGTTTTTACTACTTTTAATGTACATAGACTACCTAAAATAAGCTCAAACTCAAGTTTACAATTACCTGACAAGATCAAAACCAATCTTTATTACTTTTAATGAAGGTAAGAGAGAAGAACTGTTTTAATTCAAACAAATTTTGACTATTTGATTTCTGCTATTCCACAACTAAGAATGAACTAAACTAGATCATGTTATCATAATAATACCAAAATGAATAAACAAAAATAATAACTTTTTTGGAACAGAAACATAAAAATTGTACCTGCCAAGTTTAATCTGAAAGAATATTTTTCTTCTGCTCAAGAAAATATCCTACTGAATTTATGTATAAATTATTTTATAGATGTTTTTTGGGAGTAAAATATACAAATATATACATAAAAAAGGCTGGTGATACTTGCTGAACAACAGAAAATGTACAAAGGATTTGAGAACAGTAATGGACATATTTTAAGATAGTAGAGTCAGGAAAGGATTTTACCTGAATGTTTTTTTTTATTAACTTCACAGAAGTTTTCCTTTCTCTGTTGCTTTTTAATATCATCTGCTGCACAACTTAGCCTTTAAAATATTATTTATGTTATTTAATCTTGTCTAGCATAAACCTCCCTCTGTCTATGTTTTTACACAAGCCAACTCTTTCGCTACTCATATTCTTTTTATCTGTCTCTGTCAAACAAGCATAGAAAGATTTGAAATGTGTATTGGGGAGAACATAGAAAAATGCAGGCTGACTGATATTATTATTGAATAAATCAGACATTGGACTTGTCTAAGGTTTCACAAGCTGTATTTACAACAACCACATTTTGTTAATTGAGATATATTTGGGGAACTTAATACTCCGTTGTGGTGACATGTCTGCCCTCCTGTCATAGAGTGACAGCTATCAGTGCCCCTAATTTATTTACGGTACCTTTGTAAGTTTTTTAAAATCAATGTTTTCATTTAACTATCCATGTCTGTAGATGAACAGCCTGTGAAGCCAGTCTACCCTAGGAAATAATTTGTAAGCAGTTTTTTTTATGAAAACCCAGCTTTCAGTAAAATTAAGACAAATGACCTTAAACACTTGGCATCCTTTTGTGTTTTAGTCAAGACAATAAAGAGGTAAAAGTTAGAACCTAAAGCATTTTAATACACCACATAAATAATCAGTATATAAAATGGAGCTGAATTTGTGAATTCCTTGAGATAATCAAAGTTTGAGTTTGAAAGAAAGAACTCTTAGCTAATTGCTACCTATATTTATATTACTATGTTCATCATTTTTCATTAATAAAGCTAATTATAGAAAATGGGAAAGCTGAAACGTCATACTACGGATAAAAAGTACAAAAGATTTCCTACCTCAGATGTATCACTGTTGGATCTATTTGTCCAGTCAAAAGCTATGAGGGAAGGTTTCTGATTTTATATGAAGGTTAAGTTCTGCAGAAATCTGATTGAAGTATGTTTTTCTCCTGGGTATCAATTAGTTGTCTGATGTAATCAAATCAGAAATAGGTAAACTTTTTAAACTAACTTTGTTATTGAATCATGCTAAATATTAAATACTATTTTTTTTAATATATGCATAATGTTATTTTTGACCAGCACACACTTTCATTTCAATTTATTTGTATTTATATAGCGTAGGGTGACCATATTTTCATCTTGAAAAACCAGGACACCTTGGGGGGGTTACGGGGGGGTCTCTGTTCCCATGCATAGGCCTAGGTAATCCTACAATAACATGATATTAACAGTTGATTTATTAAAAATGATTTTCAGTAAAAGTCAACAGCAATAACTCCTATAACAAATGATAATTTTATTCAAAATGTATTTATTAAAAATGCTTATGTAATGATCTCAGAATGTAGGACCCAGAATTCGAGGCGAGACAGGCAGTGGGAAAGTTCAAAGCGTTTATTTAACAAAAACAGGTGCGCGGGGCTGCTCGTCTGCTGCGGGGCGGCTCTCTGCAGAAATGGGAGAATACAGATCAGTGACTGGATATGGAGCTTAACACGACTTGGAGCAAAGTCACTGACCTGATTCAAAGTTCAGTCCGTTTGCTGAGGTTTGACCGCAGTTGCGGCGGGAGACGCCCCGAGAGTTCCTAGAGAGCGCGCAGCAGACGCCGAGCAGCAACAGAGTCCAGAGGGGAAATCCAAGGCCGAAGTCAGACGACAGTTCCAGGTTCAGAAGCCGGTAGAATCCAGGATCAGACAGGACAAACAGAGCAGACAGGGGCAAGGCAAAAAACTCGAAATCTTCAGGGCAGAAACTGGTCACTATCAGGGAAACAGGCAGACTACAGATTGCTAGGGAACGTATCTCAAAAACACAAGAATAACCCGGCGCTGATGGGAGGCAAACACACAACTTAAATAGTAGAGGAACCAGGTGGAAATGATCGGCAATAATCAGCCGCAGAACCAATTAGACAGGAAAGCAAGGAGCAAAGGAAAAAAACCAAACCATCAGCGCTGAGATCATGACAGAACCCCCCCTTCAAGGGCGGATTCCAGACGCCCCAACAGGCTGATCAGGATGATCCCCGTAGTGGGGGTCCTGATCCCGGATCAACCGGGCCGGAATCCAGGACCTTTCCCTAGGTCCATAACCCTCCCAGTCAACCAAATACTGAAGCCCACTGCCTATCCTCCTAGACCTGAGGAGGCGCCTGACAGTGAAGGCAGGGCCCCCCTCTCTGGATCTGGTGGGTGGAGGTGAACGGAAAGGATAAAGATCTTCTCTATCCCCATAATAAAAATCCACCAAACCAGACTCAGAAGAAGGGGGAGAAAAATAACCCGGACCAGGCTCCGGGGGTGCTGGGGCCGAGGCTACTGGAGGATCTGGGGTTCTGAAAGAAACCAAACGAGTCTTAGGTAGCAGGAGAGCTGGGGAGGCAGCGAGTCTGGTGCGTCCCAGCCTAGTTTTACCCCTAGAAGGACAGGAACTGAGGAAGTGTCCATCACTGCCACAGTACAGACAGAGGTGGCAGCTGATTCGACATGCCCTCTCCTCCTTGGAGAGGCATGTGCGTCCCAGCTGCATCGGTTCGGGCTCTGGCATCCGAGCCGGACCAGGGGCTGAAGCAGGAGCATAGGGTGCGGAGTGAACAACAGGTTGAGAGGAGGCCGTCGTCAGTGCTCTCCTCTCCCTGCGACGCTCAGTGAGGCGAAGGTCGATCCGGTTGGCAAGGTCCTCCAGCTGCTTCAGAGTCCGGGGGTAGTCGCGGGTCGAAAGCTCATCCTTGATGCTTTCCCGCAGGCCAAAGAAAAAAACATCCATGAGGGCATCCTCATTCCAGGAACAATCAGCAGACAGCAGATGGAAGTCAGTGATGTACTCCATCACTGACCGATCTCCCTGTCTGAGAGTCAATAGTCCCCGGGAGGCTTCCCTACTTGGAAGAACTGGACAAAAAACACGGATTAGTTCCGAAGAAAAATCATCATACGAGCTGCAGAGTTCAGGATTATTCAGCCACTCTGACGTTCCCCATAATTTGGCCTTTCCCGCTAAAAGAGATATTACGCAGAGGGCTGTAACTCAAAATGAATCTCGCACTGAGTCAGGAAAGCTCTGCATTGGTCAGGATCCCCTTTAAACACTTCAGGAGGGGACAGACGTGGTTCAAGAAAAGGTGGACTATCAGTAGAAGACGAGGGCGCGGCAGCTGTCACAGGCGGAGCAGCTGGGGGAGCCTGATTACGCAGGTAATCGAGGATCTCCCGCATGCCTGATTCTAGACGGGAAATGCTCTGATCCACGTCGTTTCGCCACTGCCCGTCTGCCGATGGGTCCATGTTTTTGGCCGGGTTATTCTGTAATGATCTCAGAATGTAGGACCCAGAATTCGAGGCGAGACAGGCAGTGGGAAAGTTCAAAGCGTTTATTTAACAAAAACAGGTGCGCGGGGCTGCTCGTCTGCTGCGGGGCGGCTCTCTGCAGAAATGGGAGAATACAGATCAGTGACTGGATATGGAGCTTAACACGATTTGGAGCAAAGTCACTGACCTGATTCAAAGTTCAGTCCGTTTGCTGAGGTTTGACCGCAGTTGCGGCGGGAGACGCCCCGAGAGTTCCTAGAGAGCGCGCAGCAGACGCCGAGCAGCAACAGAGTCCAGAGGGGAAATCCAAGGCCGAAGTCAGACGACAGTTCCAGGTTCAGAAGCCGGTAGAATCCAGGATGAGACAGGACAAACAGAGCAGACAGGGGCAAGGCAAAAAACTCGAAATCTTCAGGGCAGAAACTGGTCACTATCAGGGAAACAGGCAGACTACAGATTGCTAGGGAACGTATCTCAAAAACACAAGAATAACCCGGCGCTGATGGGAGGCAAACACACAATAAAATAGTAGAGGAACCAGGTGGAAATGATCGGCAATAATCAGCCGCAGAACCAATTAGACAGGAAAGCAAGGAGCAAAGGAAAAAAACCAAACCATCAGCGCTGAGATCATGACAGCTTAACAATTCCTGTAATGAATGAATAGCACAATGAAAGAAATAATGTCTCATCTAAACATCCCTCACTTAACAATAAAAGTTAACAATAAACTCCCAATATGATGATACTCAGCCTCAGCAATGAACGAAATAATGTCTGTTCTGTAGGTTATTGGAAAAAATAAACAAATGAGCTAATTAACAAAAAACACCTCTTTTGTAGCAAAAATAACTCAAAATGTACCAAAAACGAACAAACATATCAATAGAATAGCTTGACTTTCGGAGTCCAGGTGGCTTTTCAGATCCCTTGCACCTCCATTGGACACCGAGACATATGTGCCTGCTTTGCACACTGTGCACAAGGCCTCCCATTTGTCTCGATCCGGTCTGAAAGCGGGGAAACTCTTTTGTAAATCGTTGGTAAACATACATTTGTGCCTTTGCATGTTGTTGGCGTACTGACAGCCACGCTATCTATATTCTGATTAAGAACGGGGCCCCCGCACTGGCGCGGCTCAGGGGTGATGTCACACGCAGCGTCGTGCGCAGTGCCCTAGCGTCTGTAAATTTAATGGTCCAATGAAGGTAATTTAAAAAAAACAGGACATTTCCTCACTTTCTAAAAAAAACCCGGGACGCCCAGGACAGGACGTGAAATACGAACATGTCCTGGGAAATACGGACGTTTGGTCCCCCTAATATAGCGCCAAATCCCAACATATCTCAAGCCAATTTATGGACACAATTCAACCAGCTAATACAGTCATATTGGTTCAAAGTTTTCTGCCTAAGAAAAAACCATCTGATTGCATAGACTCACTGACTATCTGCCATCCCTCACACCAAGCATGCATGCAGCGCATGTGGAGAGGAAAACAGCAAGAAACCTCCAGTAGAACCAGGCTCAGTGTGAGCAGCCATCTGCTGAGGCCAGCTGGCTTTACACCTTTATACCTGTCTCAGAAAATGTTATTTAGAACATGCTTTTCTGTACCTGGACAGTATTACCACCTTAGAGACTATTGTGTCCTAGAAAGATACTGAACAAACAAGCAATCAATGTATTGCTATAAATCAAGACAAAGTTTTATTATTTTTTATTTCCGTTTTTTCCCGAAAGCCCTCTCTATCAGTAAAAAATCTTAGGCAGATTATTTATGTTTAACCTAATGTAAATTAAATTGAGAGACAATAGTTGAAATTTGATGGAGAACATTTCCTGATTCTATTTCTCAATGGCACATTAAATTAAAAATTGTTAAAAACACGGATGGAGAGCGCTTACATTCTTTTTCTAATTTCTTTTTGGGCTCTTATAGCGTCTCATCTTTATGAGCACTATCAGATACCCGCATCCTGTAGAACTCTAGAAATATGCAAGTTAGCTTTATTTTACAAATAAACAAAATCAACTGATCTCCCACACAATGTACTCTATATTCCTAAAAAGAAGGTTGACAAAATGTCTTTCAGCACGTTTCCTCATGCTACAATTGGAGAAATAAGCCATCAGGAAAACCAACCCATTAGTTCAAAGTTTAGAATAAAGACTGGTTGTGAGTGTTACATTTCATTTATTTCATATTAATTTTGTTTATTAAAATTCATTAAATACACTTAAAATGCATCTCTGCTTCTGTCTTCTTGAACCCCAGTCGGCCTCGGCAGATGGCCGCTCACACTGAGCCTGGTTCTGCTGGTTCTGCTGGAGGTTTCTTCCTGTTAAAAGGGAGTTTTTCCTCTCCACTGTCGCTACAAGCATGCTTAGTGTGAGGGATTGCTTTTGAGTCAATGAGTCGATGCAGTCAACTGGTTTTCCTTAGATAGCAAACTTTGAATCAATTTGATTGTATGATCTGGTTGAACTGTTGTGAATTGGCGCTATAGAAATAAACTGAATTTAATTGAATCTTTGCATTGA